ATGGTCTCCCTAAGGAGGGAAATTCACTCAACCGAGTGACTTCATGTCCAGGCCTCCACCTCCTCCCCAACATCCGCTGGAGAAATGGAGACCAGGTCTCCTACAGACAGCTGTGAGAGTTCATTTTCCATTTTGCAAACTAATTTTGTTCTTGTCAGTTGCAATGCTCTGTCAAGTGGTGGATGGGAACTTCTAAATCAAAAACCACTAACCTCAAACCACAACCAGCCTGTGTCAAACAAGAAACTACTCCCAGAAACTACATACCAAAACGTATGGTAATAATACTATGACTATTTGTAACATACTTCCAGGTTTGTCACGTTTAGAAAATTCATAGCACATTTTTGGCACATAATCTATTCAGAATAATGGTGATAAAGATGTATATAAAAATGTATGTTTTTAATGGCCCTATTTATTTTATTGATGCAAGACAGTAAATTAGCTAAATCTCCATTATCAATCCATATGCCTCAGGTACAGATTAGGTCCCAACAAAACCATCTGTTTATAGCTTTTAATTCAATTATGCTCAAAGCCTTCAAAATTGATAAGAAACTACAGACTTTTTAGTTACTGTGGTGTGTGTGTGTGTGTGTGTGTGTGTGTGTGTGTGTGTGTTACCTTCTCTAGCTGAGATACCTTATTTCATTGGGAACAAATTCTGAACGGTTTTAAGATTTTTGAAGTCAAAAGCATCTTTTGAGGGTTGTTTCACTACTTTCATTACGTTGCTTCAGCATGAATTAATAACCAAACAGAAGTTGAAAACTTCACTAGAATTTAAAGCTGGAGGCCTGAGCCCCTAGGATATAATATGTAAAAGAGTCGCTAAGCACAAATAGTGTGGTGAAGGCTTGGGAGAGGTGGGTGCGGGGAGGAGGTGGTCAATGGGAAAAAAAGCAAAAAACAAAAAACAAAGGAGACATCTGTAATACTTTCAACAACAAAAAATAAAATTTAAAAATATTAATTAATTAGTTAATTAATTAAAAGAGTTGCTAGAAGTCTTTACAGAGGATTAGGACCAGTGCAGGGCCAGGAAATGATAAGGAAGTCCATTGTGAGAGTGATGAGAAAACAAACTCTTAATTCAAGAACTGGCAGGGAAAAGAACTCAGGTAAAGGGAAATTTCTGGTAAGGATGCCCAATGGTGGGGAAGTGAGGAGGCAGGACTGAGCAGCAAGGTAAATCTTCCTCAGTAAATTTCATAGGGGCTGCTGTTATGGAATCCCAGCTGTTGTTTTTTTTTTTCCTCTGTATGTGTACCCAGGATATTAAACACAACCTGTGCCAATCACAGGCCCACACTGACCCAATGCTACTTTATGTCATCCATTGTTAGCTGGGGCTTCTAGCACAGCCTGCTCCACATGGGATTTGAGAGCCCCCGCCTTAACAGGTTGCTTTGCCTTATCTCAGATTAGGGAGAACCTAGTCTCTCCTTGACGTAGAAGCTTCTAACTGCAATCCAATGGGCCTCCTGAAGTGCTCAGTATCACTTTAACTGACCTTCATTCAAAGGCTTCCCAGGCTCCATTCAGGCCTGTCCAAATACAGTATTCCATTTTTTTCAGCTCCTAATCCAACTCTCCCACCCCCTCACTATAGTGCCACTTTTATCATGGAAAAGAAGTCATTGAGTTCCTCCATTTAACACTTAGGTAGCCCTTTTGTAGCAGATATCATGCTAATGAATGCACAGAAGTTCTAGACCTAGCTGTGTGACCTTGAGCGAATAACCTTGCTGAGCCTCAGTTTACTTATCTTTGAAATGGGACTGATAAGGCATATTGTAGAGGATAATCTGAGGACTAAAGAGATCATATATGTAAGTCATTAGCATACACCACAAAGCAATTAACACTTGTGTCATCTTCCTCTTTCTGCCTTTCTCTTTTAACTTGCCTCCCCTCCACCTCAAAACAGGCCTCACCCTTTCTCTCCTTAATTCATCTTGCACCAAAGACAAAGAGAAACCTACACCTCCCCAAGGCAGACTGCTTCATTTCCCCCTCTATCCTGTGCCTTTTCCTGTCTTCCAACTCTTCCTTGCCACTAGCTTCTGACCCTGAGACTTCAAATACCCTCAAGGGTTTTTTGTTTGTTTTTGTCTTAAAGAGAAAAACTTTCCTTCCATCTGCTCCTTAAAAAATATATATATTTTATTGATTTTTTACAGAGAGGAAGGGAGAGGGATAGAGAGTTAGAAACATCGATCAGCTGCCTCCTGCACACCCCCTACTGGGGATGTGACCACAATCAAGGTACATGCCCTTGACCAGAATCAAACCTGGGACCCTTCAGTCCACAGGCCGATGCTCTACCCACTGAGCCAAACCAATCAGGGCCCATCTGCTTCTTTATAGTCTAAAGCACATATAAATAACTGCCTGACATAGCCTGGAACTCTCCCAAGAGGTGACTGGAATTACATCTGTAATCTTGGGGGTGGGGCAGAACCCCAAACCTTGCCAGATATGTGAGACTAATATTTGTAAAACCTTCAGTAAAGGTACATCATTTCATCCGTTGTCAAATGTTTAAAAATTCCCAACATTCTAACTTAGATCCCAAGGGCCTGCTGTTTCATCCACCATTTAAAAAAGTATTTGCACACACCATTGAATTTGTCCTCGTGTTTCACACTTTGATTGGCATAATCCTAATCTTTGCGATTATCGCAGGACTTCTCTCCCACTAGGAGAGTTGGGAACTGGAAACTGTACTGTAAAACATCTGAGTAAAGGGCAGTAGTCCTCCACACTTGCTACCCCCCTTACTAAAAAACATTGCTTTATTTCTAAATAAGACTTCAGTCTTTGGATCTTTTTGGTATTCATTTGTGTCCTATCTTCTGTTCTTTCTCCTTTGTTTGCCATTACTCTCCCACATGAACTCTTAACCAGAGATAAACTGGTTGACTCATTGTTTGGCAAACATGCCCTGTGGCTTCCCACTCACATGCATCTGTACACCAAACCTCACGTTCCCTTCTCTCTACCTGTCAATACGTTCCCCATCATTTAGGACCAGGTCCAGTCCCATAATCCTCATGAAGCCTATGCTGACTGCTCACAAAGGAAAATATGTCCTCTCTCCTCTGAACTCTTTCCATGTTTCTAGCTAAGCCATAAGGCTATACTGCCTGGGACAGCTCCGTCTCATCTTGTTAACCTGTTTTATTATTTGACAAAGTGTGTCCATACTGTGTCTCCCAAATAGTTTGCAAGGTTCTCTGGTCGGCAGAGACTGTTCCCCCCTCCCATCCCTAATACAGCAGGCGCTTCATATGTCCCTGTTTCTCTTCCCTCCCCAAGTGTCATTCCACTGCTGCCCTAACTGACTTTCATTTCATTTCTATTTCTTTCCACAATACAGACTTCTAAAATTTTTTTGAATTCACTCTGCATCATTGCAAAACCTCCTTCCTCTAGATTTGGTTTCAGATGTGAGTCAATAAGCATAATAATTGTTTCTTCTTCTAGCCATTAATAAACAATGCAAGAATATCATAAATTGAGAATCCACTGTGTGTAGAGCACTGAGCCAAGAGCCCCTGTTAAAGATTACAGAAAATGTGGAAGGCATGGTACAAAAGAACAAGAGTTCAGTATATATATATATATGCTTTGTGAGTGTATACATATACTTGTGTGTGTGTGTATATATATATATAATAATATGTGTGTGTTATACTTACAAAATCACCTAGCATCAAAAATAATATATAAGTAGGGAGGCAAATATATAGAATAAATGAGCATTAGGAGTTTACAGAAGAACCATTAGAATAAGTTGTGTTTAATAGGGGGAAGTGTTTTGGAACAGGTGATTTGGACCCAAGTTTTGAAGAAAGAGAGCAATGACAGGGTACATGAGAGCAAAGCCCATGCCTATTTTTGCTCACCCTCATTTTCCCACCACTTACTCTAGTGCCTGGTCCACGTCAACATGTTGTTAATATTTGCTGAATAAATGAATAGCCAAATGCTAAAAGAAGGAGTAGATCCCATGTGGAGAGTCCATGTTGTGCAAAAGAGTAAGCATGTCACGTTTGGAAAGATGGAGAGGAAGGGGAGAAGGAAAATGATGAATGGCACTGAAGTCCTGCCAGGAACTTTGGTTTTAAGAGATAGTAACAAACACTTTATTATACATCCATTCATTTATTTTGCAAGTATTTACTAAGCATCTACAATGTGCCAAAGCACTGTGTTAAGACCTGAGGGTTCCACAGTGAACAAAACACAGTCCCTGGTCTCCAAAGATTGTGCAGCCTTTTGATCATAATCTAGTAAGTGATGGCACATACTTATGACTTGGGTTATTGTTATTCTAACAGTATTGCTAACAAGGAGAGCAATCTGTCCAGCCTCCATCACAGACAGCTCTGGCAGAGAGCAGAAGCCTTAGTAAAAATGAGCTCCAATGTGAAGTATGTCATAACAGATGATTTGAATGCTGCAAGGAGGATTTAAAACTTAAGGAAGAACTTTCTGCCTGGAAGGTTTTCTGGGGTTATAGAATGGCTGATTGAGTAGCTTGCAGGAGCCCAAGTGTATCAGTCTTCTTGGGTATGGGTCTGAATGATGGGATAAGAGGGTAAAATTCTTGGATCAGAAAATAAAAATGTTTACATTGATGTTTTGTTATTGTTGTTGTTCAGATTAACTTGCTCTTTGACATATGTCTCTGGAGCCATGATTGAAATTATTTTATTAGAAACAACAGAAATAACAATTTTTATTTAGGTAACTCTGAGGGACAGATGACACACCAAATTAATTTTAGGGCAGATGTGGAAATGCATGAGACCTTAGAGCTGTACTTCTAACAACAGTGTTTAATGAGAAGACATTGACCAGTTTATTTCTGAAATCTTATGAATGTTAAGATCACTGCCTGTTACTAGGAGATCTTGGCCTCATATTCCTCATATCTCATTTTTTTCTTTTTCTCCTTCCTTTATTTCTTTCCCACCCTCCCGGCCCAGGATGACGGCCTCCCAGAAAATGAACATCAGCTGTCAGTAGCTGGAAAGATAAAGAAGCATTTCAACACAGGCCCCAAGCCGAATAGCACAGCAGCTGGAGTTTCTGTCATAGCAGTAAGCATCTGAAATATCCACCTATAACTTGTTTTAAAGCAATCCACCTAGGAGACAGGCATTATTCAGGAGATTCCACCCAGAGACAGCAGAATGGGTCATTTCTTTAGACAGCTCGACCGTTTAAAGCACTGAGGGAGCTTGGGGCTAAAATACATCACGTGTTTTTGCTGATGATTTCCCAGGTTGTCACATCATTATCCAACACCTCCAGGGTGTCTTGCAGTTTATATTAATTTCATGATTTATTTTTTAAAGCAGAAAACCTCCCCCACACTGGACTGTGTGCCAATGCAAACTTTTGAGCTCTGAGGAAAGGAGTTCATTGTATTCTTTTGCCAGGACCTTGGAGGGAAGGGAAGCTGAGAAACACGACATTGCAGAGAGAATTGGAACAGTATGATTCTTTGTACGAGACCTAAATGAAAGCCAAAACAGAGCAGAAAGGTTACACAGTAAGATTTTCAGGGAAATTGAATCGCTGTGAACACACAAAGAAATTACAATGTCTTGCTCCTTAGAAATTTCATTTTTAAAGTTGAAAGTCTTTTAACATTTAACATTTTATTGATGTAGCTACACATATTTTTTTTTCCTGTTCTATACATGCAGACACACACTACATGCAATTTGAGAGCAGCTCTAGGCAAAGATTAAATTGGGTAGAAAAATAATGAAACCTCATACTTCCTGGTGTCATATTCTAGAGGATATTCAAGTCCCAGATTACTTGTTTTTAATAATTTCATTTTTTTAACATCATATTCAATGTGAAATCACTTAAACTGTTTTTCTTTTTAAACAAAGAAATGAGATACTATGTTGTCCAATGGTAAAAAGTATTTATGCTACTAAATAGTACTTCATGCTCAACAGCAATACTAAATATTTAACTATGTTTACAGCATTTTTGTTTTTATTTTTTATTGTGCTGGAGCTCCAGATAATACTAAACATATGTAACTGATATATTTGATATAACCAATCCCAAATCTGGGTTACTAAATATTTGATAGGAGCTTCCAGATTTTGCAGATGGCATGAATACATGCATATACTTTCTTGTACTGCTTGCATTTCATGTTTTTTTATTGAACCCTTTTGTGAGTAACTGGTTCATGAGTACACTTGACAGTATGTATACCTGAATTTCAGTGCTGCTAAGGATCTAAAATTGCAATCTATTCTTCTTGCCCTCTGTCTTTAGTTCTTCTAAGGAAATTCAATGTAGAAGTACATTGTCTTCCATGTCTTCCTAGATTGTCCGCATTCTTTATTATCAGCATTTTCTATCGCAATTTTTAAAAGTAATAATCTCCTGGTGGTTCTCAACTAAACCAGACACTCTATACTCTGTTTTCATCATTCATTCAAGTTATACGTCTATACCGAAACTTTTGATTCCACAATTTTATTTTGCAATGGACTGCCAGCACACTTGTCCATGAAAAGGACTGTTTTTCTGCTCCTGTTGAGAGCTTACAGCTGCTAGAGAGGGTGCTTTCTCTACCACTCTAATTTTTTCCTGTTTTTATTTTTCATTTTAATTTTCTTTGGTTAAATTTGACTGGGTTGCTCCATAATTGTTTGTTCATGGTATTCTGGAAATCTTATAATGACTAAGGACAGGAACTTCAGAACAATCTTCCAATGGACAATGACAGATATGAGGGGAAATCCTACTTTAATCAAACCTGGATAAATTCCAAAACCTAAAACTTTATCTAATTAGATTTCAAAAAAAACTCCAGTTAGTATTTGAAGATCAGATGCTAAATAATTTTTCCCTAAATATCATAATTGGACCATTTTGAATGCAATTTAATATCAGTTTCTCAGATCATCACTAACATATTACATGGAAACTGTACAAACTGGTAATAGACTTATAAATTATAAAATGGGCTTTGTGATGCTGAGTTACGCATTAGTTGCATGCTTAATCTTCTTTATCCACTACAAATTTTTTAAAAATAATTACCAACTTAATTAAGACACAAAATAATTAACACTTTGGAGAAGTATCTGAAAAAGTACCTTGTCAACTCTAAAGCACAATTTACATGCTGACTATTGGCATTAATATTTCAAGCATGAAAGAGATTATCACTAAATTTCAGAGCTGTTTCTGGAGAAACTGCCTTACCATCATATATGCACTTTCTCCAGAATGCTTTCCCCTCATAAATGTCCAAACTCTCCATGAGAACCTGGGGTGGGAGGGAAGGATGAGAGAGTCACCAATCCCAGGGCAGGGCTGAGAATTAGAAACTGGACAGTTTGGCTGCCTTTGGTATTATCTTTCAGAATGGTACTGGTTAAGTCCATTTACACTCTATAACAGTGTTCCCATTCTTAAAGTGCAAAAGAGGAGTCTCAGAGGACTACCACAAGAAAAAGAAACCTTGGAATTAAGTAATATTCCAACTCAAACTAAAGTATAACTGCAAAGGAACAATATTCTGTTGTGAGGCAGAATCTAAGTGGTAGGTAGAAGGAATAGCCTTCATAAAAACCATTTGACAATTAATGATGTAATATAATTATTAATTAACCCACATGATCGAAATTTCTGTAAAGAATATAACACTGTAATGACTTCTATTTGATGGATATAGAAAAAAACTGATTTCATCATAAACTTTATTCAGACAGAATTTTTTTCCCATGGGCATGTATACTTCTCCCCAGAGGCTATCAAGTACTGTATTTTATTTTTTCTTCTTCTTTGTACTTTATTTTAAACATCTTCTATTCTAGGACTGAATTTTTTACACTCTTTCAAATTTTTAAAAATACTATTTAGGATGTAGTATCAATCAGCTTTTGTTTTTTTCTTTTTTTCAGGAAATCAACAATTAAATCATTAGTCTTTAACTGGTATTTCTCTTTCTCTAGAAACCTAACTACCTGCTGGAGATTAATGTTGCTTACAAAAGAATTTGTTACATTTTTTCTTTCTCAGAGGAAAGAAAGAACCAACTATCATAACAGACTCTAGATACAGGTGCAATGTGTTACATGAGCATAGTTTAATATGCACTCGTGGTTCTGAATCTTAGTGTTTTTTGCAGATGGTGTCATTTTTTCTTCTCTGCTTCCCACCCCCTACCTTATTGAGGCTGAAGAAAGGACAAATGACAACTTTATATTAAGGTTGCAAGAGGTCCTTGAATAGGCTAGAAGACTATCAGCTAGAGGCTCACAAGGATCATACAGTCCTAAAAGGAAAAAGGTGTTCTTACATTTAGGTCAGGCAATGTGATTAGGTGGAAACCCACTGCTGTCCTTAAAAGTGCAACATTCTATTTCTCAGAAAGACTCCATTTTCCCTCTGCTACCTTTGCCAGTAGTTGGGAAATTAAAAAAAAAAAAAAAAAAAAAAAAAACCAACAGAACAGAAACAAGGAAACAAAAGGTTATTAAAATGCAATTTATAGACATAAAATGGAATTAGAGATGACATTTTAACGGTGGACTTCTTGATAGCTAAGGGAGGGGAAGGAGGCATTATTAGATTTGCTCAGTTTGATGAAGAACCGATGACTAAGATGTCAGTTTCAATTTATTTTTCCTCATTTAATCCTGTTTATTATTTTAACCAATAATTTTAAAAATGCTTTAAAGTTCTCTTGCATTTTTATCATGCAAATAGAGCATTTCAGACTAATACAACAAATCCATACTAATCAGGGTGAAAATAATTGTGATACTGGGCTAGAGACGTGGTGTTAGGGACACTTGGCCTGTAGATGGCAATAGAGAACTAGGTACTAAGTGGCCATCTTCCCAGACTGAAACCGAAGTTCAGGCCTTCATCCTCTAGCAAAAGCACTAACAGTGCTTCGACTTTTTTTCTAAAGAAAATGAAATGTACATTGTTTAAAAGATTAAAATCTCACATTGCTGTCCCGTGAACACTGGGAGAACCTGGTTTATAATCAGAATACCAAATCCTCTGAGGAGTGTTTATTTTAAATGCCTGGTGCTCAGCATCTATTTGAAATGCCTTTTGTGAATTTAGAGGTAGAAGCAGTCGTCAGCATCTCAGCGTCACAGCATCGCCCTGCAGCATGACCACACTTGAAAGCACTCATGAGCCTCCTGATAAAGAACAGGTGCAGCTTGTCCAGTCGAGGGCAGATTGGGGAGTGGAGTGGGTACACAGCATGATTACTGTTTTTCAAATTTGGGACTGAATCTTTTATTCCTAGATAGCCAAAGGCTAACATCCTATTCCAGGATGAACAACTTAGAGAACTTATCCTGTCTCCTATTTATTGCACCTTTTGTTAATCATAAGTACTTAACTGTAATATGCATTTTTAATACGCAATGAAAACTATTTTTTATTTTCTATATTTTCATAGAGAAAATTTACTGCTTTACACTATATATTTTTAGTTCAGAAATGTAATTGATTTTTTAAAAAAGATTGTTTACTGATTTTTAGAGAGAGAAGGAGAGAGAGGGAGAAACATCAATGTGCGAGCAGTCGGCTGCCTCCTGCACCCATCCCTACCAGGATCTGGCCGAAACCCGGGCATGTGCCCTGACAGGGAATCAAACTGGAAACCTTTCAGTGCATGGGAAGATACTAAACTGACTGAGCCTTCCAGCCAGGGCTAGAAATGTAATTGATTTTTTAAGCTTAGCTCTGATTTTGAAGATTAACTCTTAAAAGAGGAAAACCAATTTGCTATAATTATGGGGATTCAAAACCTGATTCTCTTAATCTTTTATTTCATATTTATGAAGCCCTCAAATTTAAGCCTAATGGGGTAAGATTTTTGGGGTTCCAATCTGCTTTCTCAGAGGTGGCTAAAGATGATGTCAGTATTTTATTTAATTGTAAAGCATTTTCCATTCTGTAGAATATGAAAAGGTATTTATATTTTTTGAAATTGAGAGGGCATTGTTAAATGTGCATTCAAAAACCTGTTTGACAAATTAGATTTTTTTCTAGCAAATGGCCTTTGAGTATTCATGAGAGATTAGTG